TCGCAATAAAATTGATCACAGTATCATTCAACGATTCGATATTGAAATGAAGGAAATCTCATATCAGTTTGTAGAGCATTTATCTTTCCGTCAAATGAAAATAAATGGCATTCAATGTTTTAGTACCAAGATAGCGATAGTAAATTTTTAAAAACTGAAATATCCTTGCGAGATAATAAGTAATGCGGAAACATTAACTTTTACAAGATTTACATGTTATTCGCGCGAGTAAAAGAATACTCATTACGCTTTAAAGAGAGTTCAGAGAGGGCGAGACACTTGTCTTCCATTCGCGGCAACTTTTATCTACGCTATATCCGAGTGGCCCAATGAAATCTTTCCTCTAATACGGGGATGAGGGAGAGCTTTATCTCTTGCTTTAAAGTTCAGAACTTTGTCTGTGGTGGCAATTCCAAAATTTCCTCTTTAAGCTCGGATGGAGCGAACGTAAGCGCGCCCGTATCGATCGATGTTCTCTCTCATATTTCTTCGTTCTCTCTCGCTTCCTATTTCCTATTCTTCTCCCCCTCTCTCTAGGAGAGAGCAATTGTGTACGTAACCAATGACGCAAAGCTATAACATGCATGCGTGAAATTTAACGACGACGTGCGGCGAATATTAGTATCTTGTGGAAATCATTTTTTTCTTAATTTTTTTAGGTTGACAAAATGTCATTGTAATAATTTGTCTTGTGATATATAATAAGTCATAAAGTATATAAGAAAATTCGATGGCCTAGTATCCTATGTGATTTATTCGTTTATTACACAGTGAATTTAATAGATAACATTAGTAAGTCGTAAGACTGTTCGTCTGTCTCGATTGCATCAATTCATTATTTAATTTGATTATTCCGTTATTGTTAGTAAAGCAAAATGTAAAACATCGTGGTCATGATATAATGTTCGTAACGTTTCATAAGTAATTACTTCCTACCAAGAGTTGGTTATTAATTTTCGTAGTTCATTTTATTGTAGCTCCGTTTATATTGTATGTTACAACGCTGTTTCGTTTATATTTTCGTCTTAACATTTTGTTTATAACTGAAGAGAGAAAATCCTTTATAAAGTAGAATGAATATAGTCAACCTAGGCATACTGAATGTACAGTGTACATATATCGATTGTAATGTTTTTTGGTGCTTTTGTTACTCCAGACAATGGATTCTAATTTATCTGCTGAACATCACGAAAATAAGTAGATAAGTAAACAAGTAAATAAGTCAATTCTTTGGAAAACAGTTCCTTATGTATTTTTATATGTCAAAAAACATATCAATATGTTAATAAACTTATAAAAGTAATATTAGATTACTTTATTTTTTATTTTTCCAATATTTTTTTAACAAAAAAGAGATAATATATATTTGAGTACATATGTACCTAATATGATCTAGATGCTACTTTTTCTTCAAATCTTTACTGCACTTCTGTAAATATTTGAAAATGTCACATTTTTTTAACGTTCAGAAATCCTGTTTTGAATTCGATCATGAATTTTCAATTCTAAAGTCAACAAAAATTAGAAAAAATTGCAGAATTTAAGTAAATCACAAGGACAGTTATTTTACTATTTTTGTCTTCTCCTTTTTAATTTTTTTTCTCTCTTTTTCTCTCTTTCTCTCTCTCTTTTTCTTTGATAAATAAATTCTGTATTTTGAGTGCGTCGATTTTTCGCTATACAAAAATTACTTCACCCCACAATCGCGTGATATTTCACTGTATATTTCACGGTAATCTTATTTCATTAAAATATATACGTCGCGATATTGCAGTGCGTAATTTATATTCTTAAAAATGCAAACGACGTCCGCGAGATCAGTGAGATCCGAAATGCGCGGAGAAAAAAATCCCAATTCGCAGAGAGAACGAACACGAGGAGAGTATTATTTCATTCCCTTTTTTCTCATGTAGTTCTGTCGCGTTAGTGGATTCACTCGGATTTAACGATGAAATTGTTTACCGATCGTGACGCAATTAGTTCGGGCCCGATATCACTTTTATAATTCTAGATACATTGCGTCGATATATACATTGTATTAGCCAATGAAGCGTGAATTTATATTGGCGGTTAAAAACACGAATTGCGCTATATTATTAATCGATACATATCGGTGCAATTTGAATTTACATATCGCCATTTCCGAGCAAATTATTTAGCAAAAAAATGCTTGTGAAAAGTGGCAATAGGGTGGGAGGAGGGTGTATTGCCTGCCATGATTCGCAACGTCACACACTTTTCTTCCGAATGCGGTTCACCGACCGTTCGGTCTCGACGGAAAGGAGAGAGTTAACTGCTGCGGTCGCGTGACAAAGTAAGATTAGAGGCGCGGTTGCGTTTCGAAGTTAAGCCGACCCGGTTGCACTTGCCGGAGTTAAACAGTCCGCATTTCGCTCGTCCTTATATAGCGAGCGCTCCGGCGTTCCGGTGTACTCTACCTTTTTATCCCCAGGGGTGTATTTTTGCAGACTCGCGTTTTGTAAATTCCGGCGGCTCTGGCGTTTCGACACGTTCGCGTGAAAAGTAAAGAGTTGCATGCAAGCATACATCTATATATATATATATATATATATCCGTGTCACATGTGCCGTACGCGCGGATATGCGTGCGATCAATTTGCAGGTATACTCTGTACCGTGACACTTTTAATTTATCAGTTTAATTAATGATATTTATGGCTACGCTTGACAATTACTTACTATGAAATCGATACTATGGCACTGGGTGTTTTCTTTGCGTACACGTCTTCTCGAAAATTGTACACCTGATAACGTAATTATAATTTATGTATGTTTATGTAAAAGTCGATAATAATGACTCTCTGTAGTGGAAGTCGCAAATAAATTTTGCTAATTAAATGTTCTCTAATATTTAATAGGATTTTATGCAGATTAATGGAATAGCAGAATAATTTTATTATTACATGAAGATGTTATTTTAGGACAATCGAGAATATGACTTTATTCTTTTATGACTGTATTGAGCTAATTTGTTTTTTTTTTCTTTAATTTCCTTATAATTTATTCTCGTACAATAATGGGTGAAGAAAAAGCATAGACAAAATGTTTAAATTTACATAAAAATGATGCAAAATATTATAGAATTATATATACAACAAGAGTAAGAAACATAAATAAGACTGTATTTCTGCGCCATTTCGTTTTGTTTGCATCTCGAATTTTTCTAATGAATTCAGAATAACAATACCTTACGAACTACAATCGCGGAATTAATGATGTTTATTTCATTGGCTGTACCATAAGTAGAACACGAATTAAACGAAGAAATAACGTCAATCTGACTTCTAGACACTTCCAAAGGAAAAACTTTTGCATCAACACATACATACGTATTGAAATGGTATAAAAGAATAAAGTAACTCGATGGCGCCCCGTTAAATTGAGAATGGAAGATAGTCGGCACGCAGCTGAAAGGTCGAGCGGAACACGAATTTAATCAATTTCCGGCCGCACCACAGTTACGCGGGCACGGGCGCAGCGGTTTTAATTTATCAGTTTAATTAATGGGCATCTGGTATACAGAGTTGCCAATTAAAATAGAATCAACGTCATCGAGTCCCGCGATTTCTTCTTTCGTCGTTGTTGAACAGCGCCGCGAATATCGAGTAAGGGCGGAAGTACGGCGCCGTATTTGCATATTGCGGAATCCGCAGACAAGCGGCAGAATCCGATAAAATGACTGAAATATCGCAGGCATATGTACATCGTGAATGCCAGGCTGCACCTTGGACGGGAAGTGCTTTGAAAGGAAAGTACGACGGTATATATTCGCGCGCTTTCTGGAAACGTTAATAATCTATACAAGGATATAGGTCAAATGTTATGAGAATGAATGAAACGACGAATGCGGGATTACAAGCACGATACGCGCGAATTACTCTTGTTAATGTCATACTGCGCCACATTCGCGAGCGTATGAGAACGAGTCAGCGAAGCTGGTTACTATTAACGCAACTTGATGATAATTAATCCCGCGTGCATGCGAATGTTCCGAGGGGTACGCCTTGCATATTGCAATTTTGTTTAGGAAATGGAAAAATTACATTGCAATGCAATCCTCGCTTGGCGTATCACCGAAGCTTTCGCTTTCACATTAAAAATTCATATAACCAATTTAATGTTAAGTGGATAATAATGCAAGTTATTATTACTACAATCGGAAAATATTGAAATTAAAAGTTTGGAGATAAATTTGGAGATAACCTTTTTCAGAGAGATTAGAAGTAATTTTTCAGAGATTTATATTTGTTTTGAGATTTATATTTGTTCAGAAATATTATCTATCTTGATATTTACAAAGATTATTTAAGA